ACTTATTTAGAACTCTTTAAACCATCATCCTTGGAAATTTTAAGTCATTTGATATCACAATTAAAAATATACAGCTGTTTATGTGAGTGCCATTTTACACGGGTGTATTCGTGTTTATTCAGATTTGAAAAAAAATTAGTAGTTATTAGGCTTGAATAAAATAAAAGCAAGTCAGTCCGCATCTTGCTGTCTTGCCGTGCGGATCTATTTGCTTTTTGCTGAAGGAAGTGTTACTACTACCTAAAGCTACAACAAATTTAAACAGCACTTTTCAGTGCTCAACCTGTAAAATTTCTACCTTGTTCAACTCTTATTCCTCTTCGATCCTTGTTTGGACCCTACCCGAAGTAATCCTTCTTGGATATCGATTTCGAAAATTCCTCTTCGATCCTTCAGATTCTTATAGTAATCTGCTTGGAAGTCGATTTGAATAAAAATTTACTGCCGCCATGGAGCAAAAGAAAGGGGCAAACTCTTGATCCCCCTTCTGATGAAATTAATTTGAGTAATCAATTGGATTTGCTCACGGATGATGAGAATGATCCATCATCCGAGAAAAATTCTAGTAAACTTTCCCAGATTAATGCCAAGAAGGAAAAGATTCCCCCTATTGTGATAACCACTTCCAATTTCCATGCTCTTCGCATGGAACTTTTGAACGTCGTGAAAGTTAAGTTTTCACTACAAATTGGACGTCGGGGTGAATGCCGTGTATTGGCTGAAACCTTTGACGGATTTAAATGTCTTCTCAAGTATCTTACTGAGAAGCAGCACAATTTTTTTACTTACGACACTAAAACTGAACGTGTGTTCAAGGTTGTCATGAAAGGAATGCCCAGTGGTGAATCCCTGGATCAGATCAAAGATGAACTGGCAAAATTACTTGGAGTTGTGCCACTCCAAATAATCAAAATGAAAATGAAATCCCGTCCTGGCGATTCGCGCAACGGAATTTTTAATGATTTTTATTTAGTTCACTTCAATTCTAGTGAACTAAACAACTTTAAGGCCTTAGAAAAAGTAAGCCTTATGATCCATGTCCGAGTGAAGTGGGAACACTTCAGGAAGACTGGAGGAAATTTCCACAACCTCACGTAAGTGCCAGGGATGAGGTCACGGAACTGAAAATTGCTACATGCCAGCTAAGTGCATGAATTGTGATGATTCCTCTCACGCAAAGGACGACTGGCCTGTGGAAGAAGATGCTAATAAATTTAAATGTTCAAAACCAATTTTTGGGCATGCAAGACTCGCAAAGCGATCCTACAATCTGGTTCTAAGCGATACTAACCAACGTAATTCAAACCAAAATTTTGAGTAAGCAAGCATCACTGCTCCTAAAATGGAATTTTTACAGCAATCATTAATTGACATGATTTCTGATATGCTTAAATCTAACTCCATGTTTGATGCTATTCAGACTGGTGTAAAATTTGCAAACAATATTGTCATGACTTTGAAATTCAGTAATGGATTTTAAAGCATTAAATATTTAATTGGAATGCTCGATCTCTTAAAGATAATGAAGCTATTTAACTTTTTGAGAGTTCATAACGTGCATATTGCCGATAAAACTGAGGAACACCTGACCATAAGGTTGAAAAGTTTTTGAAACTTTGGGAGTTTCTGTTGAAACAAAATTTGGACAACTTACGTTTATAACTGCCTCTTTTCCATGTTACCTTCAGAAACTTACCCGTCATAGGTCTCAATTCTTCATTATTGATGATTTTAATGCAAAACACCGTTCATGGAATAATGCTCAAAGCTATTCCAATGGGAATATTCTGTTTGATGATTCTTTTGCAGGTCATTACACTATTCAATATCCAAACAGCCCAACATGTTTTTCTTCAACAAAAAATCCCTCAACTATTGATTTGGTCTTAACTGATTCATGTCAACTTTGTAGCCAATTGGTTACCCATGCTGACTTCGGTTCTGATAACCGGTTTATTCTTTTTTAACTTTTAACTTTTGAAATATCCCAAAAAATAATTTCTAATCCCAACAGCACTACTTTCAATTACCATAGAGCTGATTGGGAGCAATATCGAACATTTATGGAATATAACTTCGATCCGAACATTCCTTTGCAAACCAAAGATGAAATTAATTATGCTCTTGAATCTCTGACTACTTCTATAGTTGAAGCAAGAGCTGCCTCAGTACCAAAATGCGAGGTTAAATTCGATTTAATTATAATAAACGTCGATCTTCAGCTCTTGATCCGTCTTAAAAATGTCCGTAGGAGTCAATATCAAAGAACACGCGATCCCGCCATGAAAGTTATCTGGTGGGATTTGCAAAAACAAATATAAAATCGATTCTCTGCCCTGAGGAACAAAACTTTTGAAAATAATATTTCTAAGTAAGACCCGAGTTCCAAACCCTTTTGGAAACTCACAAAAATTTTGAAAAAACCTCAAAAGCCTATTCCAGCGCTTAAAGAAGGTTGTAAAATTTTGATCACATATTTGGAAAAAAGGTAAGAAACTTGCAAAGTAATTCGAGGGTTCCCATAAGTTCAGTTTGGTTCTTACTAGTCCTATTGAGAATCAGGTTGCTCGGGATTATCTGAATATTTTCTATCGGGAAAATATTTTTGATGATTCCTGGGGGACTGATTTGGACGAAGTAAGATCTATAACTAAAAAGTTTCATGATGATGGAATTTTCTATATCCTCATCAAAAAACTCCCAGAGAGTTAACTTGTCTTTCTTGGTAAAATTATTTAACAGGTGTTTCCATTTGGCATACTTTCCTGATAGATGGAAAAATGCAAAAGTTGTTCCAATTTTGAAGCAATAAAGATAATTTTAAATAGAATGATGCTTCACATCAATACGAACTCACTTTTTGCAGATGAGCAGTTTGGATTACGCCATGGTCATTCAACTACTCATCAACTCTTAAGAGTTACCAATTTAATTTGTTCAAACCAATCTGAAGACTACTCAACTGGAGTTGCTGTTCTAGACATAGAAAAAGCATTAGACAGTGTTTGGCATGAAGGTTTGATTGCTAAATTGAAAAAGTTAAATTTCCGACTTTATATTATGAAATAAGTTCATAATTATTTAACTGACAGAACTCTGCAGGCAAATTATCAAAATTCTAAATCTAATCAACTACCTGTTAGAGCAGGAGTTCCTCAGGGTAGCCTTCTTGGGCCTATATTGTATAACATTTTCACTTCGGACCTCCCTGATTTGCCTCAGGGTTGCCACAAATCTGTTACTTGTTATGTTATTGCAGCAGACTGCAGAAAAGTTTAAATATTTTCTCTTCTTATTTACAAAAATGGAAGATTTCTCCCGACGCTTCCAAAACTCAACTTATAATATTTCCACATAAGCCTAGAGCTTTTTCCTGGTCAAACCAAGTGAAATATCTTGGATTAATACTTGACCAAAAATTAGCAAAATTAGTGAAATATCTTGGATTAATACTTGACCAAATGCAACAAATACATATCAAACGATTGTATCCTCTTATAAACATGAAATCCAAACTTTGCCTGAGGAATAAACTTCTAATATTTAAAAAAGTTTTTGACCGGCCATGCTTTACGCTGTGCCAATATGATCTAGTTGTTGCACTACCAGGAAAAAAAGCACTTCAAAGGATTCATAACAAAGTTCTAAAGATGATTTTGAAGTTGCCTTCCTGATACAGTACTACCGAAGTACATAGAATTTCGAATGTTGAGACTTTAGAACAAATGTCCAACAAAATAATTAATAATTTCAGGCAAAAATCGTTGCAATCCTCAATTGCAACGATTGATACTTATACCCTTTATACTTAGATAAGATTTAGTTTTAGTTTTTAGTTTTAAGATTTCAATTGTTATACTGGCATGCAGGTTTAAAAAACCTGTTTAAAATACTGAATTTCCAAGGTAGGAACAATGTAAAAACACTGTGATATATATCATAACAATTAAGGCTGGTAAGTTACTGTAGTAACTGGAGCACTTAGGTTAAAATGAGATGTAATTTAATTTGAATTTGGAACAAATAAAGAGTTAAAAAAAATAAAATAAAAGCAAGTGCCTCAGAATTTTTTTTTTTAATTCGGGTCATGCAGACATTCGGATAATTCTGCCCTCAGACCTCAGTTATACAGGTACGATAGGTGAGCCAGTAATAGTGGTACTAAAAACATTTGATTAAAGTATATCAGTTATGACACTAGTGGTCCTCTAATTGGATAAACGGCCTAAAACCAACACATTTTCATTAAAATCTAAATTTCTTAAACAGGAAGTTAGTCTCAATTTTGTCCTGTATGCCTACGCTGATATGGACAAACTTATTTTAAATGTGATATATGCCGTATGGCAAATTAAAGGAATACAAGTGCCATAACGACAAACTTACCCTATTTAATATATTTTTATACGTAAAACTGCTGCTGTTTCCTCTATTCTACTGAAAAAGTATGTAGGATTCCATTCGTCCAGACGTTTTTAATTAAATCCTCTATTAACGGAACACTACCACAACTCAACTTCTCAAAGAATCGAGTCAACATCTTAAATAAAATTAAATGTTCTGCCGTAGTTATTTGGGCTCATTTAATGGTTCAAATAACTAAATCTACCTCATTAGGGGAGTTACCATGTAAAATTAATTCATGTGATTTTCCACCATTATTTCGGCGAATCCCCCATATCACAACTGTAAAAACATTACTTCTGTTACTACCCAATACTCTTTTTGTATGGTTGGCGTTTAGTTTTCTCAAAATCCCTTTCATATAAAAGTAACAGCTTATCGTAAAAGTCACTGCAGATCATCAAGGTACGGTCTTTCCCTCTATTACGCTTTGCTGTTCTGTTAAGGGTTGAGTTTACCCGTATAATTGAATATTATAAATAGAATATTACTTGATGTAGATGGTCAAGTGTTTAATATAATTTTAGTGTTGATCTCTTTGCTTCTCTTTACGACTACCGCTGCATAATACATAATATACTAAAGGATATATTTACCTAGGGTGAGCTTTTCACCGGAATCCGGAGGTAGCGTGAAACCTAATAGAGCCATTGAAGAAATTAAGACACACGGAACTATCAAATTGAAAAAATAGTATAAAGTTCTCCGTCGAATCTGTATGGTGAATGTTATATCAACATAAGGTTCGGGGCAGCATTGATATGTTATAGTGTTTTTCTTTCCTGGCATTCCTGTGGAAGAAAAGAAAATAAAAAAATATTACTGTTAAGAATAGTATAGAGAGAGCATGTATTGTACTGCTATACTGCGGTTTTGGAGAGGAAAACGCTACCTGATATTGTTAAGTAGGTTTCCTGCATAGCATTCTTGCTCAGCTGCATTTATAATAATGCTATTAATAAGCGGCTTATCGTTTCCAGATTTAGATCATGGGTTCAAAACTTTACCATAATCTAATGTTATGCCCTAGCCTATGCTGCTGAGGTACGAGAGAAGGATAATTTCTACAGTCAGCTGAAATCCGTCGTAGATTAGGTTCTACAGGGTGGCTTCAAGATCTACGCTGGCGATTTCAATGTAAATATCGGCTTCAACAACACGGACTTAATATGAGCGGATAATGTTCAATTCAGTTTTAAAAAGGTCTTTCCTTGAAGAACTTGACACCATAAACTGAATCCACCCAGAAGCACACATGAAATTTATGAGTCAAATGAATAGTATGTGTGGTTACACATGGCTTTTATGTGTACACATATTAAGTATGTGTTCGACACATAGATGTCATTTGTAGATCACATTGCAAAAAATTATGTGTGGGACACATAAAAACAATATTTGAAATTTTATTAATGTAGGCCAGACTCATGTCTTTAGATGAGATAACCGCTCTCTGAATATGTCAGCTGTTTTTGATATAACACGGACTGGCACTTTTGGTTTAATGTTTATATATATATATGTGAATAAATCATTAAAACTAACTGAATTAATTCAAATCGAGAACAAGTAAACTTTTTTATGATCGAAAGATTGTAGGGATGTTATTTTTTCATGTATTTTAGGCAAACACCCTATATAAAAGTAGAACTAAAAGCACAACAAATTAGCTGAAACTTTAATGGAATTGATTCTCACGCAAAGAAAAAACCGTCTAGGGGTTGGCCCGTGGAAAATTAGAACTTTTATTTTATTGGAAGTCTAGTATAGTGTAACCGCTGCTGTTTCTCATTGTAATCCACAATATCAAAGTATTGACCGTAATGTCAAGCACTATGGAGCATCTCACGACTTTGATTTGGCTGAAGATTTTACTCTATTAGAGCAAAGGCATTCTGACATGCAAAGTAAGCTAGATTGTCTAGCTGAATGCTGCTCTGCTGTGAGTCTCACCACCAATGTCCATGAGACCGAATCGATGGATTTTAACACGAGCAACTCCTCAAAATGAATGGTATCTGGGCAACTAGTGGAGAAAGTTTAAAGTTTACGATACCTTGGCAGCCAGATAGTATCAGGTAGCGGGTTAAAGACCGTCATAGGTGCACGAATCATGAAGACTAGGCCTTTGCGAGTTTACGAAGTATTTGGAGATCAAACTGGATTATTCAACTCACCAAAGTCCAAATTTTGAATTCCAACGTTAAATGCTTCATTAAACATGATGCGTATCAGTATAGTAAGCAATAACTGCAATTATTCATCAACAATTGCCTGCGGTATGTAATTTATACCTGGTTGCCTCACAACTGAATCTCGAATGCCAAGCTCCATCGCCGATGTCATCAGAAGCCGATATCTTCTAAAAATTGAGAACGTAAGTGAAGGTGTGCCGTTACACTATATTAAGGGATGGAAACAAAGTCTGCAAGCAAGTACTGGATTGGAACCCGTCAAGATATCATAGCGGAGGCAGACCCATTACAAGAAAATGAAGCAAGTTTACAGAAATGTTTACCTTGGCCCAGGTTAAAGCGAAAGCAAGAAACCATAATGTTTGGCCCTAGTGCCCACCAGTTGAACTTTCACAAATTCCTCGGAAGATATGTTTTTCAATCTTCAACTTGAATTTCTTTGATGATCTACGAACTTTCCTGAAGTTCTGTGAACTTCTCTTATGGTTTGTAAATTTCTCTGATGATCTATCAACATTTCTGAAGTTCTGTGAAACTCTTTGAAATTCTGCCAAGTTTTTGATGATCTACGAATTTTCCTGAAGTTTTGAAAATTTATCTGAAGGTATACTAGCTTTCTTTGAAGTTTTGCAAATTTCTTAGAAGTAATGCGAACTTCCCTCATTTTCTGTCTATGAAATTTCCCGAAAATCTGCATTTTTTTCTTATGATATGCATTCCAGGGGTAGTTAAGTTTTGTAAACCTTCTAAAGATTGACACACTTTCTTTAAAATTCCATGAACTTCCGTGAACACCAGTGATCCGACGACGAATCCATTGCAAACGATCGCTACGACGCTGCGAAAAAACTGCCGCTCCGGTGTGGGTACCCACGCGAATTTCGCTACCACGGTTAACGTGATTTATTCGCTACCGCTACCGCGGCGTGAAAAACGCGCCAGTTTGGGGGGACCTTCATGGATGGACCACTTTTACGGATCTTCCGGAGAACGGTCTCATGGTCATTCGGGCTCATGCTTATGTTACGACCCCACATTATTTCATTTAACACAGTTCCACGTGTTTTTGAAAAAAAAACCGTTGAACTCTCGGATCAGTTTTGTGGATTGACCATTTTTAAGGATGTTCCGGAGGTCGGATGGCACATATGACATGTTTATGTCACAACACCCAATTAATTTATATATGACAGTGTCAAGTATTTTTGAAAAACCGCAGAACTCTAGGATCAGTTTCAAAAATTGATTACTTTTACGGATGTTCTGAATCTTCCAGAGGACGGTTTGACGGCCATCTGGGTCCATGTTTATGTAACGACTCCAAATTCTATCTACCTTTTACGGATGTTTCGGATCTTCCGGCGGACGGTCCCATGGCCATCAGGGTCCATGTTTATGTCACGACACCTCAAATTTATTCTATTATCACAGTTCCTAGTGTTTTTCAAAAACTGTGCAGCTCTAGGATCAGTTTCATGAATTGACCACTTTTACGAATGTTCCGGATCTTCGGATGTTTCGGATCTTCCGGAGGACGGTCCCATGGCCATCCAGGTCCATGTTTATGTCACGACCCAAATTCTTTCTTATCTTACCACAGTTCCTAATGTTTTCGAAAAAAAAAACATGGAGCTCTAGGATCAGGTTCGTGGATTGACAACTATTACGGATGTTCCGGATCTTTCGAGGACCGTTCCGTTGTCTCCTTGATTCATATGTAGGAACCATTACTGTATTCTGGCTAAACCCATAAACACACCTTTAAAAAACGTGTAACGACTCTTTTCACTCTTAAAGAAAGTTGACAACCATATTTTCAATATTTTTACAATCAAAATAATCTACAAACGGCGCCGGTGGTGTAGGGGTAAGCGTGATTACCTCTCACCCCAGCAGGCCTGGGTTCAATACCAGTGGGCGTCGCCGGGATGTTCTGAGGCATAACATCTCTGATCACGCCTTCCTTCGGATGGGAAGTAAAGCCGTTGGTCCCCGGTTCATGAGTTGATGGGTCGATAGGTAGGGTCCAGGTGTGGGTCCAGGAGCTGCCTTCCTGGCACGTCGGTAGCATTAGTGCTCAGCACGGAAAACAAGATCGACGGAAAAAACAAACCAAAGAAAAAAAAAATCTGCAGACTCTAGGAATTCTAGACGTACCACACTTCTTGAAATTCATCAAGAAATGGCTAAATTATGCAAACATGCCGTTACACGCTTTTGAGTGGCTTCGTAGCCAGCGTAAAGTTTTTTACCCACCGTATGTGGAGTGTTAAGGAGGCTTTCAGCATGGGGCTGGTTCACCTCCAGTAGTTACGAAAATAGAAAATACTCATTTTTTTTGATAAACGTTGAATAGTTCCCTTCGGGTTAATGGTACCACCATCCATATCAATACTTAATTCACAGTTGGTGCTCGAGTTTGTTCGAGCTAATTTAGTTTAACAACATAACATAACAAACAAAATGCTGAAAAAAAGTTTAATTTTCTTGGCAGTTTACAGCTTAAACTGACAAAGTTTATACACTAAATCAAATAAAATGTTACCTATCAAATACCATTCTCCATTAGTGATAAAATCCGATAAATCACCTCCATCATCCGAATTCAGCACCAAATCAAGCTTAAAGAATAAGATTCATTAATACTTTGTAACTGTTTTTTTATATATAAAACACACGCATTACCTGATTGCCGTCATACGTCCAGCTACCAAACTTCATTTCACAATGTTGATCGTCGAAAGGGAACCATGTGATGTCTATTTTACACGTGCTCTTGAAGATACCAGGAGGTACATACAAGCAACTACCGTTATTTTTCACCACAACGTTTGTGTGGTAAGTGCCATCGAACCCTTCATCAGCGCTGAAATATCAGAATGGAGAGATACTTTATAACAACATGATTGAAGATTGTATGTTTATGTATTTTTACACGGGCTATACCGTAGAGTACCTCATCTTAGTCCGTACACCTCACACAAAAAGTAGGCATTTTGTATGAAATGAACAGAATTTGATTAATTTATTTTGTGTCCAGATTTCGGTCCCCCACGGCACTGTAAAAGCACCGAAATGCAAAGTAGACGTCGTATTTAATAAAAACAATATAGATCGGGATTAACGAACCGTCTAGGATTCAATACATTACGGTACTGCCATAAACGTATAAAAGTCTCAACGCTGTTGAAATTTGTGTTTTACATTCTTAAAGACGGAATCCCTCATTTTAATATTGTTTACGATGTTAACTGCACAGCAAAAAATAAGGAATATTACATGACATGTAAACCAAAACCATTTTAAAATTACATCGCTTAAAACTATGTTTTAATTTAATTTTACATTAAAAATCATGCACATAATAAAAACATGATGAAACTCATAAAATTACACGTTTATTCGATTAATTTTCTCTTGCAGTGTAATATCACCACGTGATGTAAAAACTTATCGAAGAACATGGAATTTTCAACGATAAACCCTATAAATTTACATGCTCGTGTAAATTTAAATCAACAAACATTGAGAAAGCTAATATGGCGGACGGACCGATTATTCCATCAGTTTTTTCTCCACTCGGTTTGTTTTGTTTTGTGCGCTCAGTTTTGGTTATGTGGAACGATTTATCGTGCAGACGCGCGTCCACAAATAGAAAATGGATGACAGACAAAATAGTGATTAAAGCGGTTTTATACAGAGAGCACTTTTAGTCCGTGCAGAAAATCAAAAAATTGGATATGCGCTCGTGGTTCCTTTTTTCTCTTGACTGATCGTTTTGATGCAGCGGTGGAAGTGTTGGGTATGTACTGAACCGTGAAGGCGGGTTATTCCACGTCGGTGATAATTCCGCGTACTTGACAATCAGTTCAATTTTATGTAAATTCGTTCAAAAAGCCAAATGCATGTAATTCTAAATGACCTGTAGAATTACAAAGTGAGCCCATCTAAAGCTATCCACGTAAAATTCAGGTGATGATTAATTTTACATGCATGTACATTATAGTGATGCAAAATTTGAAATTTTCGCTCCACAATACTTAAACGATTCCAAATCGGATCCTGACTAACCTCTCAAAATTTGAACCCATTTGGTGAGTAACTGAGATGGCACAAAGCATTTGAAGTTTGTATACTATGGTAAAAGCAAGATTTTTGTTCATGTCTATCTAATAATTCACCATATCGGTCTGCTTCAAAAGCTTTCAATATTACTTGTAGGAAATTTTCCCAGCTACAACTTTGCTCAAGACCACTTTTTGATTAAATGCAAGGATTGAAAGTTATTATTATTATTTATCTTTATTAGGGAGGCTTTCAGTCTTGGGCTGGTTCGCCTCCAACTGGATTGAAAGTTATCAATGGTTCAATGCGCTGATGTCTTATGATCATACTCAATCAACTGCTCAGCAGGCAACATTGGTGTTTCTGGGGCGTTGAATAGGACACAAAAATCATGGCTACTATGTCACACTGCAAAATACAGTGTTGCCTACAGAGCAGCTGCTTGATCATGTCATAAGTTTACCAATCTCTTAAATAATTAATAACTTTTTCCTGTCTCGTTTTACATGGAAACGATCTTCAGCAAAGTTGTAGCAGAGATAATTTTCTATAAGAATGGCTATCGAACTGTTTCGCAGCTCAATATGGAAAAAGACTAGAAGGCAATTAACAAAAAGTTGAGATTTCCCATAGTAATTTACATGTAAACTTCAAATGGCTTGTGCGAAGTCTGTTTCTAACCAAATAAGTTGTAACTTTGGGAGACTAATCAGGACCCGATTTGAAACCATTTAAGCACTGTGGAGCGAAAAAGTCAAATTTTGCATCAGTCTAATGTACATTTCAAGTCGTGTAAATTTAAAAACCAATTTAATTTAACATGAATATGCATGCTCTTTTTATGTGCATGGAAATTCGTGTAAAATTACAAAATAATTTTAACTGTACAATGTTACCTCTCCATCTCTCTAATTTCGATGGAAAGGATGCTGGACTATTCTTTTCTATAGATCGATTAATTGGTTGTCGTGAGTGATACGATCTATGATTACGATTTAAATTAATTAAGCGTAGGAAACAAATAAAAAAAAAGAGTTGAGGTTGGGATTGAACTCGCGACCTTCTACTTGGACACCGGAAACGGTAACCACTATGCTGCCAATTTTGTTTTGTTGTTATGCCTGAAACAGTGTTGTGGAATAATGAATGAATATGCCGTTTGTAAAGCAATTACAAAGCATGCAATTAAAATATATAGACGCATAGTGGTATAAGAGCTATTATGCTGACTGTATTCACATTTATTCAGCAATATTGTTAAGCAATGCAGTGGAATCTAATAATGGAGCTAGAAAACAATTATTATACAGAGTTGGTTGGAAATGCTGACATGAAGCTTTAGTGTGATGATTTATTAGCTAGAGAATGATCTTTAGAAGAGGGTAGGTGGATAGTTCCGTTAGAGTACGGCAGTATGAAAATTGAATAGAAGTTGAAAATGAGCGAAGGGCCATTAATGCGACAGTTTTTTAAGATCGACGCACATTTTTGCCTAACCCGTACGATGTACGTGGGGACTTGAAGTATGTCTCCAAGTCCACAGGCAAAAATGTGCGTCCCTCTTTTTGCTCATAAACTGACTGCGGCTGTGGAATAGTTCTAGCGACGTTTTCATCACTACCTAAAGCCCCACGTTGCGAGAGCATTTCCAGTCGATGGTGTGTTATAATGCAGTTCTTCTTTACCCAACTATTGTGTTGCTCCTCTCGTCATGACCAACGTGATCATCTCAGAGAGAAGGCAGTAGGGTGGTTGTTGCGTGCTGTACCATCATCAGCATTGTTGACGGCTACTCCCGCCTTGAGTTGTTACATTCAAAGTGTTTTTATGTTACTTCATACGCGAAGTTAACGATTTTCAGAGTTGGTTGGAAATGCTGACTGAAGCTTTAGTGTGATGATTTATTAGCTAGAGAATGATCTTTAGAAGAGGGTAGGTGGATAGTTCCGTTAGAGTACGGCAGTATGAAAATTGCGTCGATCTTAAAAAACTGTCGCATTAATGGCCCTTCGCTCATTTTCAACTTCTATTCAATTTTCATACTGCCGTACTCTAACGGAACTATCCACCTACCCTCTTCTAAAGATCATTCTCTAGCAAATAAATCATCACACTAAAGCTTCATGTCAGCATTTCCAACCAACTCTGAGAATCGTTAACTTCGCGTATGAAGTAACATAAAAACACTTTGAATGGAAATTATTATACGTATAATAAAGCATGTTATTAAATCAATTAAAAACAGTCGAATTAAAGCGTCAATGTATGTGCAAATTACACTTATTCGGTATGCTATTAGATCAAACTTCTGGTGTTGAATCAGGAAGACAGTCATCGTTTGTATAGTTTTCAATAAGTATATTAATCAAATCAGAGCAAACAGCGAAATAAAGGCGTATCTATCGATCTCAATGAACTTTCTTCAGCACATAATTTGACAACTCGTTTTATTCAGCATTGTACACTGTTATAAAGCATTAATTCAATATATATGCTTATTTGTGACTATGACTTGTTTGTTGGGAATGTCATAGCGGCTATTCTTGGGTACACAACTGCGTAGAAGTCATGTGTTCCTACTATGATTAACAGAAAAATTGCTGTCGTGTTACGATAACCGTCATGTTACCTTCTTTAATGTGTTTGATCAAATGAAATACATAACATCAATGAATTAGAATCAAATAAACGTAACAGTAATACGTAACACCTTATGTTTCTATTTTACATGATTTCTAATGCTATTTTCTATCGAAAACTAGCCAAAAAGTTCATTTTTACTAGGGTGCTAGTTGGTATTAGTTGATCACAACTATCATGCATTTAAGAATGTTTTTCATGTTTTATTATGTACATTTCTTAGGAGGACCATGTTGCCCCCATCTACCCTACTACTTCATGTAGCAAGGCTCTCGGACGGAGTGTTATACAGATTAATTTTGACCATATTCTGCGAGGAAGACTTTAGCAACAAAGACGACCAGCGGTACGTTTCGTCGCCAGCGGCCAGCGGGTACGTTTCGTCGCTTATGATTATGCTCAATCAACTGCTCAGCGGGCAACATTATTGTTTCTGGTGCATGAAATAGAGCACAACACTGCGTCCTAGCAAGAAGTAGGAGAGAACAGTACATAACGCACCCCCGGGGTAAGACGCACTTTTTCATTTTGTTTTTAGTTTTTCTTGGAATTTTAAATCCAATTCTAGGATTTATCATGCAGGATTTTTAATTCAGATGCTATGCTAGAAGTGCTGCTTGATAAGAAAACAAAATAGTTACGTAAAAGCCATGAAAAACACAAATGAAAGTCAGCTGGTGCGTTCTGCCCAGGGGGTGCGTTGTATACCATTCTCCCCTACGGTCAACTTGTTTCGCGCTCCGTTGTTTTGGAAGTTTTCTCGGTATTCGCTTGATATCAGTTTTTTTCTCTCTAAGTGACTCCTGGCATAGTTCCCGGTAAATTGATCGAAAAGTGAGTTTTTTTTAGTAGAAAGTGTCATTTTCGGAACGATTAATCCGTGCTATTGGTAATTCGCAAACCAATTTGGGCATCATCGTTGCGTGGTCACGCTTACCCGCTCACGCATATCCGCTCACGTATCATCATCATCGAGTGTGAGCACCCGTTTCTACGTCTATATCGTTCATCAATCATCATGCGCCTGTGTGCGCTGAGTACCGAGGCTCGATCAAGTGCACGACAACGAAGGTCATCCACGCTGCGCGTCCCTTCCAGCCATCTGTGTAAACGCCTACACATATAACACTCGGTGGTAGTAGTATAGAATTATCAGATAAG